TCAAAAACCAAAGGAAAACAAATCAGTTGTGCCTCCTGGGGCTCCTTGGGAGCCATCTTGGAGACCTCTTGGGGCGTCTTGGAAGCCTCTTGGACAGTCAGGGACCAATTCTGGGGTGATCTCGGGCGGTCATTGGTCGTGTTCGTTGTCTGGAAACGCCATTTCTGGCAATCCAGGGCCGTCTTCTGGCGACTTTACAAGGCCCCCAGCGCCACGGCAAGGCCCCCGGGCCTCCCGGCGCCAGGGCCCCATCCCGGGCCCCACCTCGTGCCCGCGGCAGGGCGTCCCTGGGCCGTCTCGGCGCCCTCGTGGGCCGTCTCGGCGCCCTCGTGGGGTGTCTGAAATCCATCAAAAATCGAAGGACAATCAATGATTTTTGCGTCCCTTTGGGCCGTGTTGGAAGCCTTGTGGGCCGTCTGGGGGCCATTTTGGGCGCGTTCGAGCGATATGTCCTTGTTTCGGGGCCTCCTGGGGGCCTCTTGCGGCCCTTTTCGTTTGTGTTGGGGCTTTCTTGGGCCGTGTGGGGGCGGCCCTGGGCTGTCTCGGCGCCCTCTTGGAAGCCTGTTTGGGAGATTTCTGGGTGTCCTGGACCGTCCTCCTTCAACGTCGGCGGCACTGACCGTAAGACTTCCTGGGAACATGATTTGTTGGGGTGTCGTTGGGCGCCTCGGGAGGCTTCGGAACCTGACGTGTTTCCGAGCATGACGGCAGGTAGCGCTGCTTGGGGCTCTCGTGTTTTTATCCTGGCGGGCGTTTAGGGAACATGGTTTGGGAAGGCGGCAACCCGAGAATCATGTTCCCGGGAAGCTTTCCGGGAACATGATTTGTTCGGCTCTCCTAACAAGGGGGCCTCTGGGGGCTTACCGAGGGGCCCTTTTTGGCCTTGTCGGCAAGCTATTGGAAACATGGTTGGGGCGGTGGACGGAAGCCCAAGGAATCATGTTCCCGGAAAGCTCTGGGAAATACGATTTACCGAAGTCTCTTGGGGGCCCGCAGGGGGCCTCCCTGGGGCCCCTTGGGAACTCATTGGGGCTTCCGGGGGGCCTCTTGGGAGCCTCACGGGGCTTCTTGGGAGCCTCTTGATGGCCTCCGGGGGCGTCCTAGGAGCCTCTCAGGCTGGAGACCTTGAAATGTCGCGCTCTTCGGGCCCTCTTGGGTCGCTCTTGGGGCTCTCTTGGGGCGCTCTCGAAGCCCTGTTGAATTATCTGGGGAGCCTCCTGGGCCGTCTCTGGTCTTTCTTGGGAGCCTCTTCGGCCGTCTTGGAGCGATCTGAACGGCCTCTGACGCCGTCCGGGACCGTGGGGAGGCGGAACATGCGATAGCGCAAAAATGCGGGGCCCTGTGGAGGGGCCTCTGGAGGCGCTCTTGGGGCGTATTGGCGGCATCGTCGGCCGTCCTGAGGCCATCTTCGGCGTGTCCGGGGCCTCTTGAGGCTGTCTTGGCAAGCTTAGGGCCCTCTTGGCGTGTCGTGGCGCGTTTGGGAGCGGACCTGGGCAGTCCCGGGAGCGCTGGGGGCTGTTGAATGCTAGGTGTTGTCTTGGAGGCGGAGGCTGTTGAGTGCAGGGTGGCGCGTGCTACGCGGAAGGCGGGCGAGCGGCCAGGCGGGCGGCGGGCGGGCGGGTGGCGGGCGGGCGGGCGGGTCGGGATTTGAATGAATTCCGTAAGGGTGCTCTCTTGCAGCAGGAGCTTGTTGAGCACAGGGTGTTGCCTTGAAGACGGGGGCTGTTGACTACAGGGTGTTGTCTTGGAGACTGAAGCTGTTGAGTACAGAGTGGCGCGTGCTACGCGGACGGCGAACGGGCGGCGGGTGCCCTAGGTGGTGGGTCAGAGGCCTCATGGGTGTTGGTTTGGATCTCGTGGTTGGCCTGTCGGAACGCAGTTTCGCATCTTCTCGGTGACCGTTCGGGGGCCGTAGTGGGGCCTCCTCGGGGCTGTTTTGTGGCCTTTTGAAGCCTCGTTTGGGCCTCCTGGGTGCCTTTCGGGGGCCTCCTGGGGCCTCTTGGGGGCTCCTTGGGGCCTCCTGGGGCACTCTTCAAGCGGGAGGGTCGAATTTTGGATTCGTGGTCACCTCTTGGGCGCATCTTGGGGCCGTCTTGGGGCTCTCTTGGACTGTCTTGGGCGCCTCTGGGGTCGTCTGGGGGCCCTCTTGGGCCGTCTTTGGGCGCTCTTGGGGGCCTATTGGGCCGTCTTGGAACGTCGGACAGCCGAAAAGGCTAAATCTCTCCAAAACCTTTGAACAATTACCGATTTCGGCCACTTGAAGCGCTCTGGAGAGGCCGGAGCACTGGACCCAGGACCCCCGGAGGATCCTCCGAAAGTCGAAGGGCGACAAGAACATCGTCGGGAGGCGAGCCGAGAAGTCGAAGGGGCGAGCGCGGTCCCGAGGGGCGACCGGGGCGGGGACGGCGTCGACGACGACGACGCCGACGACGGCGACACCGCCGACGACGGAGAATTCTCTCTGGGATCCGAAGGCCTCTGCGCTGGCCCGGGGCGGGATGTGCCACCGCAGGAGGGCCACGGCGCGCATGGCGTCCAGGAGGCCGTTTTCTTGGACCGGCGGCGGCGGCGGTCCGGAGATCGGCTCGTCCGCACCGTCCGTTGTAAGGTTCCTCGGGGCTGTTTGGGAGCCTCGTGAAGCCTCGTTCGGGCCTCCTGGGTGCCTCTGGGGGGTCTCCTGGGGCCTCTTGTGGCCCCTTTGGGGCCTCCCGGGTCCCGGTGGAGGCGGGAGGCTCGAATTTCCGGTTCGCGGTTCCCCTCTTGGAGCTCTCTTGGTGCCGTCTTGGGCCTCTCTTCGCCGGTCTTGGGCGCGTCTTGGGCCGTGTTGGGGCCCTCCAGAGCCGTCTTGAGGGCCTCGTGGAGGCCTCTTGGGCTGTCTTGGGGCGTCTGCGGGGGGCCTGTGAGCCGTCGTGGAGCGTCGGAAAGCTGAAAAGGCGGGAAAGGCAAAATATATCCAACCTTTGTAAAATGAGCGATTTTGGCCTCTTGGGGCCCTCTGGGGGGGCGGCCTCTTGGAGGCCTCTTGGGCCTTTTTGGCCGTCTTGGGGTTATCTTGGGAGTCTCCTGGGGCCTCTTGGGGCCCGGCTCGAATTTCTGGTTCGCGGCTCCCCTCTTGGGGCCCTCTTGGGGCCGTCTTGGGCCTCTCTTCGCCCGTCTTGGGCGCGTCTTGGGCCGTCTTGGGGCCCTCCAGAGCCGTCTTGAGGCCCTCTTGGAGGCCTCTTGGGCTGTCTTGGGGCGTCTGCGGGAGGCCTGTGAGCCGTCGTGGAGCGTCGGAGAGCTGAAAAGGCGGGAAAGGCAAAATGTGTCCAAAACCTTCGTAAAATTCACGGTTTTAGCCTCCTTGGGGCCCTCTGGGGGGGCCTCTTGGAGGCCTCTTGGAGCGTCTTGGGGGCCTCTTTGGTCGTCTTGGGTTTATCTTGGGGGTCTCCTGGGGCCTCTTGGCGCCCCTTTGGGGCCTCCCGGGGCCCGGTGGAGGCGGGAGGCTCGAATTTCCGGTTCGCGGTTCCCCTCTTGGAGCCCTCTTGGGGCCGTCTTGGGCCTCTCTTCGCCGGTCTTGGGCGCGTCTTGGGCCGTCTTGGGGCCCTCCAGAGCCTTCTTGAGGGCCTCGTGGAGGCCTCTTGGGCTGTCTTGGGGCGTCTGCGGGAGGCCTGTGAGCCGTCGTGGAGCGTCGGAAAGCTGAAAAGGCGGGAAAGGCAACATGTATCCCAAACCTTCGTAAAATGCACGATTTTGGCCTCTTGGGGCTCTCTGGGGGGGCCTCTTGGAGGCCTCTTGGAGCGTCTTGGGAGCCTCTTTGGCCGTCTTGGGCTTATCTTGGGGCCCTCTTGGCGCCCTCTTGGGCCGTCTGGGAGCCATCTTGGGCGTCTTGGATCGATCGTAAGCGTCTCGAGGCACGCTTGGACCGTCTTCGGCGCCTCTTGGGCCGGACAAGGGCGCTCCCGGAGGCCCGATCCTCCTATGGGGGGTTGCGGTCCCGGCCAGGGAGCACCCGGCCCTGTAGCCCAGTGTGTGTATATAAATGTATGTATGTATGTATGTATGTATGTATGTATGTCTGTCTGTCTGTCTGTCTGTCTGTCTGTCTGTCTGTCTGTCTGTCTGTCTGTCTGTCTGTCTGTCTGTCTGTCTGTCTGCCTGCCTGTCTGTCTGTCTGTCTGTATGTATGTATGTATGTATGTATGTATGTATGTATGTATGTATGTATGTATGTATGTATGTATGTATGTATATATAAACTATTCCTCCTGCGGAGGGACATGCCCGACTTAACCCTGGGCAGGGAGCCTGTGCACCCCCTGGCCTGGCCAGAGAGGGACCTGCACACCAGCGCCCGTCGGCCCATGCGCAGAGGGGGCCCAGGGAGAGGGGAAGGCTCCTTAGAAGGAGGCTGTTTCTCTCGAGGAAACGCAAACATGGATTACCCGTCGGTCGTTGAAAGTAGGTATTCTGGGATTCCCAGATTCCAATCTACTTTCAGCGCCTTCCTACTTCAATGATCGAGTGGCTTCACCTTTTCCGTCTTCTTTAGGGGGCGGGCGGACACCCAATCTACTTTTAACGCCTTCCTACTTCGTGTTTCTACCTACAGTGGAGGCCCATGCCAAGAAACATCTTGCTTGTATCCAGGGTGCCCTGGATTTCATGGGTTTCAATGGTATCGCTGTGGAACGCGTGACGTTCCCACGCCAAACATCAATGGGCATCCTGGGGTTCTAGGGTTGGGTTTCTTGTAGAAGGTTTCTGGTGGTCGGCCTCCCACTACCTCTTCCGACTGATGGGCAAGGCGCATGGAGGATTAGCGCGACTACTCCAGATTTCGTAATAAAGGGAGGGGGGTCTCATTTCGGGGGGGGGTCTCTTCCAGGCTATCTTGGAGGGCCTGGGGGGGTCTGGGGACGATGTTTTGGAGGGTTCTCCCACGAGGGGGGGTCTGAAATGGCTTGTCTTGGAGGGTCCAGACCCCCTCCCTTTTATTACGAAATCTGGAGTAGCCCGACTTCATCTTGGCAGGCGCCTTCGGAGTGCCCCAGGGAGGCGTGCTGGCAGGCACCTCCGGGCTGCCCGGGCGAGCGCCCCGAGGCGGGTGCCCTCGGGGTGTCCCGGGGGAGCGCGCCCCGGCAGGCAGCCCTCGGGCTGCCCACGTGGGCGCCCTGGCAGGCACGGCACCCGGGGCTCCGAGGCGGGAGTTTATGCATGACCACCGCCTGGATTTGGACGCCCGAAATGGGTGCGGAAAGAATGGGTACGATGCCCAACAGCAGTTCCTGTTCATTTTGAACAGGACTCGCTGTCCGCGCCGCCGCGGCCTGTGTCCATTAGAGACAGGACGCCGCCCGCCCAACAGCGGCCGCTGTTGGTTCGGGACAACCTTTGCTGTTGGGCATTGTACCCGTTCTTTCGGTACCCATTTCGGGCGTCCAAACTGGAGGATCAATTTTCGGGGACCTCGACAGGCGGTGGATGTGGGCACGTTCGAGCCCACGGGGGCCAAACGATACGCATATCCGACGTCCGCTGGGGCACCAGGACGTCGATTCCCAGGCGGTGGATGTGGATCAATCACCGCCTCGCAGGGGCACGACTGGCGCTTACCCACCTCCTCTCGGCGGCGAGCGAGGGGGAGAAAGGAGAAGGAGAAGGCCCTCTCAGATGGCGGCGGGGCTTCTCAGAAGCCCTCGCGCCTTCTGAGAAGTTGTTTCTCTCTTCGGGGAAGGCTCAGGAAACTTCTCAGAAGGTCGGGGGACTTCCGAACCTTCTTAGAAGACCTTCTCCTTCTCGCTTCTCTCCGGACTCACCGCCAAACCCGGGGTGCGCCCTGGCGATTGCCCACCTCCTCGTGTACAGCACAGGAGAGGCGACAAGGTCGCCGCTCGGCTGCTGCAGCCTCGCCGGGGCGGGCCCCTGTTTCAAGTGTCTTCCGCAAGCCCCTGCAGTACTTTTTTCGCCTTGTTTCACGTGTTCTTCCGCAGCCGCCCGTGGGAGGACATGCTGCAGACCTCGGTCGGCCCGTGCCGTGGCACACCCGCGCGAGGCACTTCGTGCCCCGAGCGTGCTCCGCCGCTCGCGGCTTCCTCGCCCCCCGCCCGCGCCCTCTCCGCCCCGGGGTGGCCCGCGCGGGGCCCGCGGCGCCCCTCGGCTGCCTCCGACCGCGGCTCGGTGCCAGCCCGCCGCGACGGTAAAGTCCTCCGCCGTCTTCCTCCGCGCGAGAGCGAACCTGATAAGCTGGAGGTACTTCGCAGAGGAGCAGGAGGAGTCGCCGATGGAGGGAAACCACAGGCCACCAAGAGAGTCGAAGAGGATCTCATCCCACTGCTTCGGTCTAGTGTAGTTGGGTTCGTGCTTCCACTCTCGCTTGCTGCGAGCATCGGAGCCCTCCCCTCGAGAACAGGCGACCTGCTTCAACTGCCACTGCTGCGTCCCCTGCCACGAGACAACCTCCTGGTCAAACAGTTCCCAGAAACGTTTTAGACCATGCTGTAATCATTCTACAACACGTCTGAAGCATGTTGTATACGGTTTTGAAACATCAGAAACACATTTTACATCCAATGATCGGGCTGTTAGAGTGTCCACTGTCATGGCATCCACAGCCGGAGCGGCGCCCTGACCCAGGGCGGGCTCGGTCTTGGCAGCACCTTCCGGGGCCGCTCTGGCGGCCGCGGCGCCGGGGAGCACCACGGCACTCCAGTCAGCCGCACCTGCCACGGGGGCGTCGCGGGGGCGACGGCGAGAGTCTCGTCTCTCTAAGGAAGAAACCAGGGGACCACATGCGAACCCTAGCCCTCCCCCCCACGATTTCTGAGGGGGGGTTCGCATGTGGCCCCCCCAAAACGGCATAGACATCAACTTTGGGAGTTCCGCGCGGATTTCTTGGATCTGCGCTGGAGCCCCTGGCGGGCTGGCGCGAGCGCTCCGCGCGCCAGGGCGGGGGTCCAGCGCCGATGTTTATGCTTAGCCGCTTTCTGTTCCTCTTAACGGGAGTCTCGTCTCCTCCTCCGCGCCAGTGACGCCCCCGTGGCGGGTGCGCGTGAGGTTTGAGACCGCCCGCGCCGCCAGACCACCCGGGGGGGGGCGACCCGTTGCCCTTCCGTGCCGGCCGAGCTGGCTTCTGCTGCTGCTCCTCGCGGTTCCTCTGCTCCCGGCGGCGGCAGCTCTCCGAGGTCGGTGTCGTCCTCCCGGGGTGAGGGCGCCACCCACACAGATGAAGATCATGTGCGCGTCGCCCCCGACTTGGTTGCCCCGAATTGCCCCACGCTGAAGCGGATTGCCTCTGCCTCGCCGACGGGAAAAGGTGCGCGTCGCCCCCAGAGGCGATGCGCGCGCTCGGAAAACTGGCAGTTCCGTGACGGGCGCTTCCTGGCTAGACTGTTCGGATAACGATATGCCACAAGACTTGTGTACGACATGTTCGGATCGGACGTGCGCTTCCAACGTCAGCACATAGTACTATCGGGGAACGAGCAGTGACATGCTAGCCAGCGCGGGCCCCAAACAGTGTGTCTTTAGACGTACACGCTGCACAATCTAGGTGGTGCAATGTATATGGTACACTCTTCGTGGTGCAATCCATGTTGCGCAATCCATGTTGTGCAACTGATGTAGTGCCAATCTATTTGGTGCAGTCTATAGGGTACAATCAATGTTGTGCAAGTGGTGCACACTAGGTGGTTCAACTGACTACCCTGCACCGCGCTTGACCACCTCCACTGCTCGCGCAAACATCCCACCCACCCACCCGCAACTTGGTTCGCAAAATCTCTTAAGACCGTGACGGTGGGTACCAAATGGCACTTGGCAACGACAGCGACGCCGACGACGACAGCGACAACAACGACGACGACGCCGCCGACAACGACTACGACGACACCGACGACGTCTCCAACGATTTCGACGACGCCGACAACGACGACGACGACGATGACACCGACGCCGACGACGGCCGACGCCGACGACGACGACGATGACGACGACGACGATGATGACGACGCCGACGACGACGACGACACCGACGACGACGACGACGACGTCAACGACGCCGACGACGACGACGACGACTCCGACGCCGACGGCGGCGACGACGATGACGCCGACGTCGACGACGACGAAGACGACGACGACGCCGACGCCGACGACGACGACGACGTCGCCAACGAAGACGACGACGAGGGAGGAGGGAGGACGACGACGGCGACTACGACGACAACGACGACAACGACAAGGGAGGAGGGAGGACGGCGACGACGCGAACGACGAAGAAGGAGGAAGGACGGCGACGCCAACGACGACAACGACGAGGGAGGATGGACGACGACGACGACAACGACGACGACGACGACGGCGACGAAATAGGAGGGACGACGACGAGACGCCGACGACGGACGACGACGACGACGAGAGAGGAGGAGGAAGGACGACCACGGCGACAACGACGACGGAAACGACCACGACGCCAAAGAGGACGACGACGACGAACACGAGGAACGACAGAGGACGACGTAGGCGACGACGACGACGCGGGAGGAGGGAGGACGGCGACGACGACGACGACGACGCAAGAGCGCGCGTGCACGCTTTTGTTGAAAATCCGTGTTGCGAAACCTTGTGTTTTTGTAGGTTTCTTGGACACACGATTTTGAAATCCTTCCGAAACCGATTGGTTTTGAAGGATTTCGGCATACGCGCGCGACGACGCGCGCGTCGGCACTTCGTTCCATTTTTTGCAGAGGGTTCTCGCGACGGCACAGTCGCAAGGGCGTTCGACAGATTTCGGCATGCGCGCGCGAAGCCCGTTTGGTAGCATTTTGTGAAAATCTTGAAAAGCCTATGGCCTCTTAAGATTTCGCAAGAGCTCGCGCGCAAGCTTTTTAAGCAAATCAGTGTTGCGAAACCTTTTTTTTGTATGTTTTCAGGAAACTCGATTGCGAAGTCCTTCCGACACCGAAGGTTTTTGAAGGATGTCGACATGCGCGCGCGACGACGCGCGCGTGCGCACATCGTCCCATTTTTGGAAAGGGATTTGTGAAACAAGTGTTATGTTAGAAAAAAAAGATGTCCCCGCGTAGTGTTATTACAAGGGGACCTCAGGGGGGCCGATCCCGGCCCCTCTGGGAGAGTGTAAGTTTATATATGGGATGGACATGTGGTCATAATCATGTATGATTTACATACCCGAAAAGGGGGGCGGATAACGCCGGGGGGGGGATAGAGTCTATTCTCTTTTTAGAAAGGAGAATATAGTTGGTGGAATCCATGAGGTGCAATAGACGTGGTGCAATCTCTGTGGTGCAGTTCGCACTGCCGAATTTGAAGTTGTCAGTTTCATTTCGCGCGCAACCATCCCACCCACCCACCCGCAATTTGGTTTGCAAAACCCGTGCGGCGGCGATTGCGATAGAGTGGACGGCGTTGGCTTGTGCATCTCTGCGGCCGCGCTAGCCCACGCATGCTTGCGCGCGAAGCAGCCAGCTTGTTTGGCGCGCCCTTCGCGGCCTTGGTGGCGCTGACCGCTGAGCATTGCCCAGCGGGCGTTCCAGTGCGGGTCGGCGATTCGGGCGGGCGCGGTATCATGACAACGTCAACGGTGCACACGATGATGGTAGTAGCGGGTGTGGCGGCGATGATGACAATAGCGACGGCAAGGCCACTAACGGCGCCGATGCTGATCACGCCTGCCACGATGACGGCGTCCTTGCGTCGGTGATGAAGGTTTTGGACGAAGTTCGACATGCGCGTGCGGCCCGCGCGCAAGAGTGGCTCGCATGGTATTAGTTGCTGCGGGTCGTGCCCTCCCAGCACGCGCACAGAGGCGTTCGAAGGATTTCGACCGCATTTTTTTTGTTGGGGGGGGTAAGAACTGCTGTTGCATCACCGCGAATTTTTCCATGTGTCGGGGCCCTTGACTTTCAACCCCTTGAAAAAAGGTTCAGGCTTTTGAGAGATTTCGGTATGCGCGCGCGACTACGCGCGAATGTGCATATTATTATGATCATCATTATCATCACTTATTGTTTTTTTTGTGTTATTATAATATTAAGGTTTTTGCGGCCACGAACGCAAGGGCGTTCGAACGATTTCGACACTCGCGCGCGCGAGTGGCGCGTCTGGTAGCATGCCATGCACAAATCTTTAAATCAGTTTTTTTTTTTTTTTTTTTTTGTTGTTTTTGTTGTTGTTGTTGTTGTTGTTGTTGTTGTTGTTGTTGTTGTTGTTTTTGTTATATGTATATATATACGTATTATACAAACACTTTTTTTTGTTTGTAAAAAAATAATAATTAAAAAAAAGTTGTTATTATTATCATTATTAATAACAGAATTTACAATAAAAGAAAGAATTTGCAAGAGCGCGGGCGCAGTTTTTTTGGACAAACTTTGTTGCGACGCCATTCTTTGTTACCTGTTTTCGGGGTAGTCGATGCTGGCATTCGTGCGACACCTTCGGTTTTTCAAGGTTTTCGGCATGCACTCGCGACGACGCGCGAGTGTGCATTTTGTCCCATTCATTGCAAAGGGTTTGTGAACACCTGTGGTTTTTGATAAATGACTGTGCGCGCATAGTGCTTGTTTCAGAGGATGAGGTGTGGGGTGGGGGGGGGGCGATGCCGGCCTGCCTGGGATGGTACGAGTTCATATTTCGAATGGACGATGGGGCTGAAACGCGTGTAAATTGCACTACGATAGAGATATGCCATTCAAACTGGGGGGGGGGAGATCCGAATATCCTTTTGGAAAGCGGAAAACAAATGTTATGAAGTTTGTGTGGTGCAACCTATGCGTTGCTTTGTTCAAGCGGGCTTACACATCCCATGTTCTTACAGACGTCCCACCGGCCCACCCGCAATTTGATTGTAAAACCCATGCGGCAGCGATTGCGATGAGTGGATGGCGTTGGTTGATGCATTTCCGCGGCCGCGCTAGCCCGCGAATGCTCGCATGCTCAGCGGCCAGCTAGTTTGGCGCGTCCTGCGCGGCCGCGGTGGCGCTGACCGCTGGGCGCTTCGCAGCGGGCACTTCAGTGCAAGTCGGTGTTTAGGGCGGGCGAGGTACAATGGTGACGCCGACAACAGTAGACACGATTATGGGATTAGCGGTGATGGTGATGATGTTGGCGATGGCGACGGGGAGGCCCATGACGGTGTCGATGTTGCTCACGCCCGCCGATCATGATTACCATGTCCTCGCGTCGTCGATTAAGGTTTCTGATGGAGTTCGACATGCGCGTGCGGCCGACGCGCGCGATTGGCCAGCGCGGTATTATTTGACACGGATCGTGCCCCCCCAGCAAGTGCGCAAGGGCGTTCGAGTGAGTTCGACATGCGGCGCGAGAGGCCCGTTTGGCAGACATTCATGAACATGTGGCAAACATATGGTTGTCCGTACGACCCCGCAATGCCGCGTTTTTTTGTGGGGTGGGGTGTGGGGGGCATTTTTGATTATTTGTTCTTCCTCTCCTCTTGCCCGCACGCATATATATATATATATATATATATATATATATATATATATATATATATATATATATTTATATATATATATATATAATATATAATCGAAGAATAACTAACAAACGCCATAAACATCAACGTCTGGCTCTCCGAGCGGATTTCTTGGATCAGCGCTTGGGCCCTCTGGACGGCACCTCTGGCGCCGTCCTTGGCGCGGAACGCCAAACATTTATATTGAATCGCTTCGCTCATTCCGCCGGCCCGTATTGTGCCATCGCGGGCGTTTGCTTGCGCGGTCGCGAGCCAGGCGGCGCTGGTGGGCCGTGGTCGTTTTCCAGAGGCGTTGCGGCAGAACGCACGGGGATGAAGCAGTTTGTTTGGAACTTGTTGTGGGGGCTTCGGCTTCTACTGTCTTACGAGGTGGCTATCGAAGACGCCTACGGCGAATCACCGCCGCCCCCTGCCTTTTTGGAAACGCCGATGTGGCCGAAAGTTGGACTAGAGCTTGGCCAAGCTATCGGACCATGAGTTCCCCGAGTCGGTTTGGAAAGCTTTCGGGGAACACATGGGAGAGAATGATTATGAACAGGAAGAGGAAGAGGAAGAAATAGAGTAGGAGGATGAGGGTTGTTAGGAGTCTCTTGGGGCACCCTTGGGGTCTGTTGGGGGCTTCTTGGGGGCCTCTTCGAGGCCTCTTGGAGGCATCTTGGGGGCCTCCTTGGGCCTCTTGGGGGCCTTTGGGGGCTTCCTGGGGGTCTCTTTGGCCGTCTTAGGGCGTTCCTGGTCCGTCTGACGCCGTCTGGAGCCGTCTTGGGGGCCTCTCTGGGCCGTCTTGGGGCCCTCTTGGGGCGCTTCAGGGCCGTCTTGGAGGCCATGTTGGGCGTCTTGGAGGCCTCTTGGGCCGTCTTGGGGCGCTCTTGGGGCCGTCTTGGGGGGCCCTTGGGCCGTCATAGGGCCTTCTTGGAGGCCTCTTGGGCGATCTTGGGGGCCTCTTGGGCCGTCGGAAGGCCGAAAAGAAGAAAACGCAAAAAACCTTCAAAAACCTAAGGAAAACCAATGATTTTGGCCTCTTCGGGCTCTCCTGGAGAACGTCTTGGAGGCCTCTTGGGCCATCTTGGAGGCATCTTGGGGCCATCTTGGCCGTCTTGGAGGGCATCTTGGGCCGTCTTGGAGGCATCTTGGAGCCATCTTACCCGTCTTGGAGGCCATCTTGGCCGTCTGGGAGGCATCTTGGAGGCCATCTTGGGCCATCTTGGCCGTCTTGGAGGCCATCTTGGAACCGTCTGGGGCAGGAAATTGGGGAATTGAGCTCCTGGGCATCCTTTCCGGGTGGCCGGCGGGACGGGCCGAAGCCCACTGGGGAGTTCTTTTAGAAAAAGAACCAAAACCAAAACCTGACAGCTCATCCAGCACGCCGTGCGCCCCTGCAAGCAGGGGGCGGCGGATCTAGTGGTTTTCGGCCCATCCCGCCACCGTGCCTGGGTTGTAGGTCAGAGGCCTCTTGGATGTTCGTTGAGATATCGTGGCAGGCCTTTCGAGGGTTTCTTTGGAGGCAGTTTTGAGGGCTCTTGGGGGCCGTCGGGGGGCTTCTTGGGGCTTCTGTTTAAGCTTCTTGGGGTCTCTTGCAGGCCTCTTGGGGCCTCATGGGGGCTGCTTGGGGCGGAAGTCTCGAATTGTCGGTTCGTGTTCCCTCTCTTGGGTCCCTCTTGGGGCTCTCTTGGGCCCTTCGGGCGTCTCGTGGGCCGTTCTGTTGCTGCTGCTGCTGCTGCTGCTGCTCCTCCTCCTCCTCCTCCCCTTGCTCCTCCTCCTCCTCCTCCTCCTCCTCCTCCTCCTCCTCCTCCTCCTCCTCCTCCTCGGAGCTTTGCAGGGATTCCGGTATGTTGTCGGGGTTCCTGAGGGTTCGCCCGGGGTCCGCCCACCCCACTTTTGGGAGGAAATTTGAGGGGGAAGAGGAGCAAATGGAGGAGAGGGAGGTGGGGCAGGGATATGAGGGAGGGAGGGGCGGATAGAAGGAGGTGGAGGCGCATGATGATTAGGGCGACCATTTCGGGATGGGGCCAGTCGTGCTTGACATCCCACATCATACACGTTACCGAATGCATGCACATGTGGGCCGTTGGGGGATCGGTGATGTATGTGCGGTCTTTCCATTATTCATATTGTTGGTTGTGTTTACAGAGGACACGCAACCGACAACCTCTCAGAATTCACGCTGGCCTCCAGAGCCCCCCAACACATTTCCAGGACCATCCCGAGCTCATCCTCATCCAATCGAAATTGGAGGAAAACGCAGTGAAGGATCCAAGGGTGAGGGACGCGAGAAAAACTGAGTGTTGGGGATTTGGGGAGGGGGCATCTCGGAGAGTTCATGGATGCTTCTGGGAGTTTCTCCTGGGAACATCAAGGAGCTTCTCAGGAGGAGTACTTGTGACCCTCTTGGGAGCCCTTGGAGGCTTTTGGGGAGCTTCTTGGGAGCTCTTGGAGGCCTCGTGGGGTCTTGGGAGCCCTTGGAAGCTTCGTGGGAGCTTCTTGGGAACTTTGGGAGGCCTCGTGGATGGCTCTGGGTGGGCCCTCTTGGTGGTCTCTTGGGGGGGGGGGGTCTGCCTGGCCTTTTCTGGGGCCTTCTGGGAGCTTCCTGGGGGTCTCTTGGGGGCCTCTTGGGGCTTTCTTGCGGCCTGTTGGGGGCCTCTTGGGGTTCTGTTGGGGGCTTCGTGGGGCTACTTGGGGGTTTGCAGGGGCCTTTCGGGGGCGTGTTTGGGCGGGGGGCTCAAAATTTCCGTTCAGGTTGTCCTTGTGGACCTCAATCATGGGGCCGTCTTGGGGCCTCTTGGACCGTTTTGAGGGTTTCTTCGGCGTTATTGGGGCGCTCTTGGGCCGTCTTTGAGCGGTCTTGAGGGTCTCTCGGGCCGTCTTGGGGTGATTTTTGGGGCCTCTTGGACCGCCTTGAAAGGTGTGAAAAACGCAGACGCGGATATGTTAAAAATGCACGTTTTCCTAAGGGAATGAGGCGGTTTTTGCTTGTGGGAGCCCTCTTGGGGCGCCGCTTAGGGACCTCTTGGGGCGTCTTGAAGGCCTGTTGGGCCGTCTTGAGGCCATCGTAGGCGCTTGGGGGTGATATTTCGGCGTCCCCCGGCTCTCTTGGACCGTCTGGAGGGCTTCTCGGGCCCCTCTTGTACCGATTTGGATCCCCCCTGGGCTCCGAAAGAGAGTTTTTGAGGCTTTCTTGGGCCTTCTTGGAGCGCTCTTGGGCCGTCTTTGAGCGGTCTAGAGGGTCCCTCGGGCCGTCTTGGGGTGATCTTGGGGGCCTCTGGGGCCGCCTTGAAAGGTGTGAAAGACGAAGAGGCGGATATGTTAAAAATGCACGTTTTCCCAAGGGAATGGTACGATTTCTGTTAGTGGGAGCCCTCTTGGGGCGCCGCTTAGGGCCTCTTAGGCCTCTTGGGGCGTCTTGAAGGCCTGTTGGGCCGTCTTGAGGCCATCGTAGGCGTTTGGGAGTGATATGTCGGCGTCTCCCGGCTCTCTTGGACCGTCTGGAGGGCTTCTCGGGCCCCTTTTGGACCGATTTGGCGCCCCCCTGGGCTCTGAAAGCGAGTTTTTGATTGTTTCTTGGGCCTTCTTGGGGCGCTCTTGGGCCGTCTTTGAGCGGTCTTGAGGGTCTCTCGGGCCGTCTTGGGGTGATCTTGGGGGCCTCTTGGACCGCCTTGAAAGGTGTGAAAGACGCAGACGCGGATATGTAAAAAATGTATGTTTTCCAAAGGGAATGGGACGGATTTTGCTAGTGGGAGCCCTCTTGGGGCGCCGCTTAAGGACCTCTTGGGGCGTCTTGAAGGCTTGTTGGGCCGTCTTGAGGCCATCGCAGGCGCTTGGGAATGATATTTCGGCGTCTCCCGACTCTCTTGGACCGTCTGGAGGGCTTCTCGGGCCTCTTCTGGACCGTTTGGAGCCCTCTTGGGCTCCGAAAAGGGACCTTGCCGGGAGTCTGCCGGGAGTCTGCCGGGACCTTGCTGGGAGTTTGCCGGGACCTTGCCGGGACCTTGCCGGGACTTTGCCGGGGTATTTTTCGTCCGGGGACCCCCAGGGCCCGCCACGCGCGCGCGAACATATTGTTGAGCAGTTCCCGGAGATGGCCCGTTGGGCCGGCGAATTTATGGCGTTTTCAATCTTCTAGAGGAGCCTTCCCCCCTCCCCCTACCCCCTGCGCGCGCCGCCAACACGTGGGTAACTGTTCGGCCCTCCCTCCCCTTCCCCCGTCCTCCTCTGCCTCCGCCTCCGCGTCCTCCTCCTCCTCCTCCTCCTCCTCCTCCTCCTCCTCCTCCTCCTCCTCCTCCTCCTCTTCCTCCACCCTGCCCACCTGGCGTGGGCGCGCGGGCCCTGGCTGCCCGAGCCCAGGCCGCGGGCCGCCCTCCGGCCAGCATCGCGGCGACCGCCGACGGCAGTGCTTCGGGCGGGAAAAACAGGACTTGGAGTGCGAGGGGGGGGGGAGGGGGTCGGGAGGGGGGGGCGTTGGGGGGGAGGGGAGTCCCCCTGGTTCTGATCGACGGCGCCGAGTGTTCGGGGGGTGTGTCCCACCCCCCGGCTCGAAACGCGCCACCGAAGGCTCCCCAAACCAAGCGCCTGTGGAACGCGCTCGCGGAGGTCGGGGACCCGTGTCTCGCACAAAGTCGAGACGTCGGATGTTTGGTGTCCCGCCCGGCCATGGGGCTCCCAGGACTGGGACCTCCTGGCCCTCCCTGGCGGCTCCTCCCGCGCCGCCCCTGGCGCGCTCGCGCGCCGGGGAGCCAGCACCAGCCCGGGTGCTCCGCGCGGAACTCCTCGGGGGCCACAAAGCGAACCCTACCCCTACCCCCCACGATTTCTGAGGGGGAGGGCGGGGTTCACTTCTTTCGGGAGGCCACGAGCGAAGTGGACCCCACCCTCCCCCTCAGAAATCGTGGGGGGTAGGGGGTAGGGTTCGCTTGTGGCCCCCCAACTCCGAGAAGTCATGCGTGTGTGCAGTTTCTCGCTCCGCCAGGAAGGGTCCGCCCCCGCTCCCAAGCAGAGCGCGCGTCGAGATGTGGCCCCACGGCCACTCAGTGGAAAGGCTGGCCACCCGAGGCTCCCTCGAGCGCGCCGTGCAGCTCCCCTGGTTCTTTTCACTTCCCCGTCCCCCGTCATCGTCCCCGTCATCGCCGTCGTCATTGCCCGTTCGCGCCCGCGCCTTCATCCTCGTCCTCGCTCTCGCCCTCGCACTCCCCCGCCCCCCTGTGCCCCTCCCTCTCTCTCGTTCCCCGCTGGCCCTTGGCTCCCCACTCCCCTCACTTTGCGCCCTCTTCTCGCTCGCTCCTTCCCTTCCCTCCCCCGACCAAAAAACAAACGACACCACCCCACGTACGGCCCTCCGTGTTGCGCTACGGCCCATTGGGGGCCGTAGCGCACAACACGCAAAAACCCAAGTCAGATTTCCTGGTGTACGCTGAGGCTCTTTGTGGCCGTAGGTGAGGTGGTGTCGTTTGTTTTCTGGTCCACTCCCTGCCCTTTCTCCCGCCTGCCTGCTCTTGCGCTCCACCTGCCAGCAGATCGCACCTCCCCGGCAGAGCGATCCAGCTTTGCCTTTTTGGTACCCCCGTTTTCGACACAACGCAGACAGCCAGTTCACAGCCATGGCGGGCATGACCGTGCTCCTCACTGTGCTGGCGGTGCAGCAGGCGACTGCAGGGCGCCTGAGGAGGCGGGAACCATATTCGCTGAAATGTGTTTGCATGGCTCACGCACTTTGTCTGCTCATTCCTCCCCTTCCCTTCTTCTTCTTCGCATCCGCTCTCGTCGTCTTAGTCCTCGTTTTTTCCCTCCCTCCCTCCCCCACTCCTTGGTCGGGGAAACGTGAGACTCAAGTTCGCTGGATCTCGGGTTAGCCGACGTTTTTTGACGGGCGCGCCCTGAATTTCGACGTGACAGTTTTCGTGTGATGCTTGCAGCGGGAGCTCGCGTCAAATGTCAGACTGGCCAACGTAAGGCCAACCCGAGTCACCGTCAGGCCAGCCCGAATCAACCGGAGTCACCCAAACCCGAGTCTTACGTCCCCCCGATTTGGGCAGGGATAGCCAGGAACGGTTCTGCTTCTGGCCGTCCCTGGGATCCGACGCTGCAACACAAAGATACAACATCCCGAACCATCACAACCAGAGCCCTTGGCCCCATCTTGGTGCGCCATTTTTTGAGCCAGATCCATCTGTGATGGTCCCAGGGCCCAGAGCTCAGCGACAACGCCCGTTGTGAAAAGTTGCAGTTCCCAGATCTGAGGGGTGGTCCGTGTTTCTCTTCTGAGCCCCTGCCATGCCCGAACCTTGCTGCGCGGAGCTCCAGAGCTGCGCGAGCGCGCGCGGGGGGAGAGGAAAAGGAGGAGGAGGAGGAGGAGGAGGAGGAGGAGGAGGAGGAGGGAGGAGGAGGAGGAGGAGGAGGAGGAGGAGGAGGAGGAGGAGGAACCGCTCCCGCGTCGAGCCCGCTGCCGCAGGACCACCGTCGGGCGGCTCGCCGCGGGCCTCCGATGTCGGCGGCGCTCGGTGCTCGCGCGCTGCGGCGGGCCTTGCGCGCGGCTCTGCGGCCGTTCGGCTGCTTCGAGCTGCAGGGGGGCTTTGCCGCACCGCGGCGGCGGCGCTCGAGGCCGACTCGAGGTCTCGACCTGTCCGCGCCGAGGGGCGAGCGGACGGGCCACCTGCTGCTCCCGCTGGCGCCGCGCCGCCTGAAGGCCCTCGGCCTCGGCGGCGTCGGCGGCGGGCTCGCAAGCGCCGCGGTGCTGGCGCGCGGGTGGAACCCGCCGCACCCGACCTATGTCGCGACGGTGGCGGCACGGCGGACGGTGGCAGCGACGACGGCCTCGAGGACGACAGCTGGGCGGACACCCGCGTGTCCCGTCCGGTGCCCTCGGCCGATGCGCCCGCCGCTGCGCCTAGCGCCGCTGCTGGGGCGCTGGTGGCAATTGGCGGGGCGCCCCTTGCCGGTGAGTCGCCTGGCGCGCGGCTCGGCGGCGAGGGGGGGAGGGGGCGCCCAGCGAACTGCGGAGGAGGCGCGCCTGCTGCGGGTGCTGCTGCCGCTGTTGGCGGGGTGGCCGCGACGGTCGGCGACGAGGCGGCGGAGAACAGCGCGCTGATCTCAGCGTGGCTCGCGACGCCTGGCGCTCGGGTCGCCGACTACCCGCCCCGCTTCGCAGGCTGGCGGGTTGCCCGCCTCCGCGCCTGGCTCGCCAATGCGGTGGAGGCCCCCGGCGCCAGCAGGCAGAGGGGGGGAAGCAGCGGATGGGGCGGCGGTAGTGTGCCGCGCGCGGCCGAGGCCCGCGAGTGCGAGCCCGCCCTGCTGCTGGCCGAGGCCGAGGCCGCCAAGCAGAAGGCCGCCACCGCGGTGGCGTCGCCGGGCGCCCCCTCGCCTCCCGCAGGCGCAGCCGCTGCCGCCGCGGCGTCCGAGGAGTCCTCGGAGCTCTTCCAGCTGCGTTGGGACGACTTGATCTTCTCGGCGGACATCTCGGAGGAGCTCGACGAGCAAGAGCGCGGCAGCCTCGCCGGCCTCCGCAAGGAGCTCCTGGCGGCGAGGGACTTCTTGCAGCCCCATCTGGGAGAGGTCCGCGAGAAGCTAGCCGCCACGAGGCGCCTCGCCGCCGCCAGTCGGCAGCGCTTGGCCAAGAAGCGCAAGGGCGGCGACGGCGACGCCCAGGGCCCCGCGCAGGAGGCGGCAGCGCCAGCAGCGGCAGCATCCCCTCCGCAGTCGACCCCACAGGTCAGCTTCGCCGAGCAGACACCTGCCGCGGCACCTGCCGACGCCGGTGCCGCGAAGGTCGCTGGCGCAGCTCCGGCGGCTCCGGCTGAGAATGCAGGCGGCCCCGCGCTCGCTGCTGCTGCTGCTGCTGCTGCTGCTGCCGAGCTAATTTCAAGGCGGCCGAGCAGGCGACCGTAGCCGCTGCAGCCCGCGACGCCTCGGGTTCGGTTGGCCCGGGCGCGGCGTCGCCCGACGCCGAGGATCGCGACCTGTGACGCCAGGCGCTGCCGGCGGCTGATGCGTTAGCCGCTTGCGCGGCTGGCAGTGGCGCGCAGCCGCGCAGTTTTGACACCTAACATTGATGATGGTTTCCCTGGTGTCGCGGGGTCTGCCGCCGCCGCTGTCGCAGCCAACTGCCCGCGCGGGGCGACAGCGCCAGGGCGCGGGTTCATCGTCGACGGGGCGCCCGTGGCTCGCGACGGGTCGCCTCGTCACAGCCGCGCCCTTTTCTTTTCGAACATCGCTGCGATGGGGGCGCAGGCTTGGGAGTTCGTGGAGAAGGAGTGCGCGGACTGCGATTTTCTGGGTTTCGGAGACGCGCGTCCGCACCTCGTCCAAGCTGGGCGAGTGGGGCCGCAAGGCGAGGCACGCTGGCTGGCAAGTCCACGCCAACCCTGTTCGCGCTTCGGGCGGCGGCGGCACCGAGGGCGGCGAGTGGCTGGTCGCTCGTCGGCATCTTCACGCCCATCGCTTGGATGCCACCACGCCAGCGCCCGGGCAGCTGCACGCGCCGGCCTCCATTAACCAGGGCGGCTTCCAGGCCAGCGTGCTTCGCGTGCAGGGGTGCGCCGTGGTGGCCATCGTCTTCTACGCTTTCTCGTCCCTTCGGTGGGCGGGGGACAACCTGCGCAGGTGCGCTCGCCTTGGCGCTCTACTCGCTGCCCGTCAGCTGCCATGGCTGGTGCTCGTCGACTTCAACATGAGGCCGTTTGTTTTGCAGCAGCGCGGCGTCGTGGAACGCGTCGGCTGGCGCGTGCTGCAGAGCACCGTGGCCTTCGCCTGTGCTGCTGGCGCCGCAGGGTCGCGCATCGACTGCGGCCTGTGCTCGACATCCTGCCTGCCGTGCGTCGCGGGGTTTCTCGACGCGCAAGCCCCTTGGAAGACCCGCTGCGGCTTCGCGGTGGAGCTCTTTGGCAGCGGCCAGCACGGCTGATGACGCGTCGCCTGGTGGTGCCGCGGCCCCTGCCCGTGGGCCCCAGCCCCCGCCCGCCGCCGACTGCCTCAGGCAAGCGGCGCGAGGCGCGCGCTCGCAGGGGCGCCACTCGTCTCAAGCGTGCTGATTTTTCGAATGAGGTCTTCGGCAGCCAGTCGGAGTCGCTCAAGGCTGATGCGTCTACTGATGACATGGGCGGCGAGGGGTTCTCCTCCAGCGACGACGGTGACTCGTGGGCTGGTGGCGTTGAGAGCTCGCTGCTGCCGCCGCTGCAGGGCGATGCGCCCCCCGCGAGGGAGGGGGGTGCGCCCTCTGGCATGCCGCCCCAGCCCAGCGCTCCTAGCCTCAGCACCTTCGCCGAGTCGCCGCTGCGGCGAGAATGGCTGCCCCCGGGCGCGCGCGGCCCCCAGGTGCCGCGCCGTTCGACGGCTTGGGCGAGGACAAGGGTCAGGACCTCCTATCGTTCGAGGAGATCGAGGAGCCCCCCCGAGGCCGAGTCTTACCGGGGGGCGTATCTGACCGTGGTCAAGTTGATGTTGACGGGGTGGTGGCCGAGAGGGCCGGCGGAAATCAGTCTCGGAGTCGCCCTTTCTGCGGGGCGGGACAACTGCAGTCTCTGGCGCCCCATCTCGTCGCATCTCTCTCGCCTGTTCGCGACGACAGCCCAGACGATGAAGACGTCGCTTGCTGGATCCCTGATTATATTTGGGAGCGGGCGGCCGACGCCAGAGCTCCAGCTGCTTCGCCTTGGGCCGTGATGCCGTGATTGGCGAGTCGGCCGCCCACCGTGTTGGCGCCGCGGTTATCGGGCCCGTGGGTTCGCCAGGTCGAGGCAGCCGCGCGTCGCCGTGCGCGGGGGCCCAAGCGCGGTCGAGGCCTTTCACGAGGCGAAGGGTTTCATCTGGTCGGGTGTCAGGTTTCAGCGGCCCCGCGCGCCATCCACGCGGAGGTCGCCGACGCCGACTGCGCGGTTAGCTGGTGGGCGGCGCTGCGCGCGGCCCTCGGGAAGTTCGCGCGCAGTTCGAAGGGGCGCCGAAGGAGGCGCCCCTGCTGCCCGCGCTGCGGCTGCTGAACGTCGCCGTGCCGCCGCCGAGTGCCGCCGCTTGGTGCAGGGCGCCCTCGCCCGTGCTCGCCGCGCTCTCGCCTCGGCTCGATGCGCAGGCCGTCGCGCTCGTTGGGCAGCCGCAGGGGGGCCGCCCATCACCTGGGCCAGCCTCCGTCGGGACCGTCGCGCTCTGCCGCGCCTGCCCATCCTTGAAGAGGCAACCCGACCTGGTCGACGAGATGATCGACCACAAGGGTGCCAGCCCCTTGCCCGCCCCCGCGACCTGGTGCACCACGAGGCCAGAGTCGGGCACGAGCTGTGGGCGCCCCACCAGGAGGACACGCACGCGGTTGGCAGCTTCTGGAGTGAACTGCGCGAGCTGCTCGGCATCGATGACCTCCCAGCGCCGGGCCATCCTCAGCTGCGTGCCGCCTTGAAGCGCCCGCGCCCGCGCGCAGGCCGAGGCGTCGACCAGCTGCGCCCCGCGGGCGTCGAGCGGCTTCTGACTGCGCCCCCTTCGAGCTCCTCGCCGCGCACTCGGGGCGCGAGCAGGCAGGATGCTGTCCATGGCAGCTGCCCTTGGTCACGGGTCAGCTCTTGGCCGAGAGGTCGGGCGGCGAGCGCGTGATCGGCTTCCTGTGCGTGATCGCGCGCATCTGGGGCCAGGCTCGCGAGTCCATCGCCCATGACTGGAGCCGCGGCGCGGCCCCGCCCCGGGGCGTCG